CGGGTGTGGTGGGGCTGGAGGGGAGTGTGGAGCGGACAAGGGAGTCATGGAGAGAGTGGTTCCTCCGGAAAGCAGATAAGGGTGGGGAGGGAAAAATGTCTTTGGTGGTGGGGTCGGATTGCAGATGGCAGAACTCCCCACCACACCCGGCACTTTTCCCTGCAACTGCAGGAAGTGCTACATCTGCTCCTACACCTTCCCCCTCACCCCCTGTCTGTTTCCTCTCCACCTATCTTCTCCTCTATCCATCTTCTATCCGCCTCCCCCTCTCTCCCTATTTATTTCAGAACCCCCTTCCCCTCCCCCATTTCTGATGAAGGGTCTAGGCCTGAAACGTCAGCCTTCCTGCTCCGATGATGCTGCTTGGCCTGCTGTGTTCATCCAGCTCTACACCTTGTTATCTCAGATCAGACTAAATGAGTTTTTCAAGGAAGTCTCAGCCCGAATGGATAAAGGGGAACCACGAAATGTGTTACATTTAGCACAGTGGCTCAGTGGTTAGCACTGCTGCCTCACAATACCAGGGACCCAGGTTCAATTCCACCCTCGGGCTGACTATCTGTGTGTAGTTTGCACGTTCTCCCCGTGTCTGTGTGGGTTTCCTCCGGGTGCTCCGGTTTCCTCCCACAGTCCAAAGATGTGCAGGCTAGGTGGATTGGCCATGCTAAATAGGCTGTCGTGTTCAGGGATGTGTAGATTAGGTGGGTTATGGGGGATGGGTCTGGGTGGGATGCTGTAAGGGTCAATGTGGACTTGTTGGGCCGAAGGGCCTGTTTCCACACTGTAGGGATTCTATGATATATGATTTAGACTTCCAGAAGGTATTCAACAAGGTACCTCCAAAAGGTTAAGTCATAAGATAAGAGCCCAGAGTGTTGGCAGTAGTATTTTAACATGGATAGAGAATTGGCTAGAAAGGGTAGGAAACAGGAAGTGGGAATAAGAGTTTCTTTTTTAGGTTGGCAATCTTTAACTAGTGGGGTTTCACAGGGATGAGGACTGGACCACAACTGTGGAAGGAAGGGAGCGAATGTACTGTGGCCAAACTTGTAGAATGCAATGTGGGAAAATGTGAAGTTGTTCATTTTGTTCTAAGATAAAAATAGGTGGACAGGCAAGTTGTGAGAGGGATACAGACAGTTTACAGAGAGGAATTGAAAGGAGAAGTAAATCGTCAAAAAGTTGACAAATGGAGTATAATATGGGAAAATATGAAGTTTTACATTTTGGAAGGGAGAGCAAAAGAACAGTATTATTTAAATGGAGAAAAACTGCAGAAAGCTGCAATCCAAAGGGACTTAGGGGTATTTATAAATGAAACAAAGAAAGCTAGCACATAGGTGTAGCACATAATCGGGAAGGCAAATGGAATGTTAGCCCTTATTTCAAGGGGGTTTAAGTAAAGCAGTACATAAGTCTTACTTTGACTATACAATATGCTGGTGAAACCACACTTGGAGCATTGTCAGCAGTTTTGGTCTCCTTATTTAAGGAAGATATCATTTCATTGGAGGCAATTCAGAGAAGGTTCACTATGATGTCCCTGGTAATAGAGGGATAGTCTTATAAGCAAAGACTAAACAGGTTGGGACTCTACTCACTGGAGTTTAGAAGGATGAGAGGTGATCTAATTGAAATGTATAGGATTCTTAAGGGGTTTGACAAGATAAATACTGAGACATATTTCCCCTCAAGGGAGTGTCTAGGACCAGGTGTCATAGTCTCAGTATAAAGGGATGCCTGTTTAAGACTGAGAAGAGGAGGAATTTCAGTTGGGGCTTGTGAGTCTTTGGAACTCCTTGCCACAGAGAGCTATGGGGCCAGAATCTTTGTTTGTATTAAGGCTAAGTTAGATTCTTGATCAGTCAGGGATTCAAGAGTTATGGGGAAAAGGCAGGAGAGTGGATGTGAAGAATGTCAGTTTAGCTATGTCAGAGCAGATTGAGGGGCTGAATGGCCTCCCCTTGTTCCTATTTCTTATAGTCTTAACTCATCTCGCTGCCTTTCTGAAAAACCACTGTTGTGAATCTAGTGTGAATCCTGATTATCCTCGTGAACAGCATCTGGAAGACTTGTTTCTCCTGAGCAACCATTCATCTGCCAAAACCTAGTGACAACTGCACGTGTGCAATCTGTGCTAATGCGTTGCTAATGTCACTGGGCTGTTAATGGAGAACCCCAAATGGCAATGTAACCACTGTTGATGCTTGTAAACACCCATATGGTTCATTAATTGAATTGAATCGTTTATTGTCATGTGTATTCAATGTAAAAATACAGCAGAGAGTGTGTACCTTCGCCGTACACACATGGTGTCATTCACATTAACTTAGAATAAGAGAGAAAAAAAACTTGAGAGTCCAAGATAACAAGGTGTAGAGCTGGATGAACACAGCAGGCTAAGCAGCATCAGAGGAGCAGGAAAACGTCAGCTCCCCCAGAAATGGGGGAGAGGAAGGGGGTTCTGAAATAAATAGAGAGAGGGGGAGGCGGATGGTAGATGGATAAATGAGCAGATAGGTGGAGAGGAGATGGACAGGTCAAGGAGGCAGGGATGGAGCCAGTAAAGGTGAGTGTAGGTGGGGTGTTAGGATGGGGGTTAGTCAGTCAAGGGAAGACGGACAGGTCGAGGAGGTGGGGATGAGGCTGGTAGGTAGGAGTTGGGGATGGGGGTTGAGGTGGGAGGAGCGGATAGGTGGGAGGAAGGACAGGTTAGGGAGGCAGGGACCAGCTGGGCTGGTTTTGGAATGCGGTCGGGGCGGGGAGATTTTGAAGCTTGTGAAGTCCACATTGATACCATTGGGCTGTGGACTTGTCGACAATGTGGACTTCACAAGCTTCAAAATCTCCCCTCCCCCGACCGCATCCCAAAACCAGCCCAGCTGGTCCCTGCCTCCCTAACCTGTCTGTCCTTTCTCCCACCTGTCTGCTCCTCCCACCTCAACCCCTACCCCTACCTCCTACATACCAGCCTCATCCCTGCCTATCTTCTCCTCTATCCCTCTTCTATCCACCTCCCACTCTCTCCCTATTTATTTCAGAACCCCCTTCCCCTCCCCCATTTCTGATGAAGGGTCTAGGCCCGAAACGTCAGCTTTCCTGCTCCTCTGATGCTGCTTGGCCTGCTGTGTTCATCCAGCTCTACACCTTGTTATCTCAGATTCTCCAGCATCTGCAGTTCCTACTATCTCTTAAGAGAGTCCAACTTTCCTTTCCACTGCATTAGTCCCATTCCGGGTTTTCCAGCCTGCGCCAGAGTCCCGCTCCGGGCTTTCCGGGATCCAGCTCCGGGCTTTCCAGGACACAGCCCCGGGCTTTCCGGGACCCAGCCCCGGGCTTTCCGGGATCCCCGCTCCGGGCTCTCCAGGATCCAGCTCCGGGCTTTCCGGGATCCCCGCTCCGGGCTTTCCGGGATCCAGCTCCGGGCTCTCTGGGATCCAGCTCCGGGCTTTCCGGGATCCCCGCTCCGGGCATTCCAGGATCCAGCTGCGGGCTCTCCAGGATCCAGCTCCGGGCTCTCCAGGATCCAGCTCCGGGCTCTCCAGGATCCAGCTCCGGGCTCTCCAGGATCCAGCTCCGGGCTCTCCAGGATCCAGCTCCGGGCTGCCTCATTTACCCGCCCACGCTCGATCCACCGTCGCTGCAGCGCGCAACCAGTGAGTTCAGTTCCCGCCAAGCAGCCCAGCTCCTTCCTGACTCCTGAGTTAGGTGGTTAAAAGGGGGCGAAGAATAGAATTACTAAAGAGGGGAAGAAAAAAAAAGACCAAAAGAAAGAAAGAAGGAGAACTGGCGAGCAGAGTGGAGCTCCGAAAGGAGTGACTATCCCTGCCGCCATCTTGCTGGAATGATCAGGTAATGTTCCTTAGCTAAGGAAATCTTGCCTGATCTGGCCAGTGTGTGATTGCAGATCCACAGCAAGACTCTTAACTGAGAGAGATAGTAGGAACTGCCGGTGCTGGAGAATTTGAGATAACAAGGTGTACAGCTGGATGAACACAGCAGGTCAAGCAGCATCAGAGGAGCAGAAAGGCTGACGTTTCGGGCCTAGACCCTTCATCAGAAATGGGGGAGGGGAAGGGGGTTCTGAAATAAATAGGGAGAGAGTGGGAGGTGGATAGAAGAGGGATAGAGAGGATAGGTGGAGAGGAGACAGACAGGGGAGGTGTGGGGGCAGGTGTAGCACTTCCTGCGGTTGCAGGGAAAAGTGCCAGGTGTGGTGGGGCTGGAGGGGAGTGTGGAGCAGACAAGGGAGTCACGGAGAGAGTTGTCCCTCCGGAAAGCAGATAAGGGTGGGGAGGGAAAGATGTCTTTGGTGGTGGGGTCGGATTGCAGATGGCGGAAGTGTCGGAGGATGATGTGTTGGATCCGGAGGTTGGTGGGGTGGTACGTGAGGACGAGGGGGATTCTGTTTTGGTTGTTATTGCGGGGACGGAGTGTGAGGGATGAGTTGCAGGAAATGCGGGCGACACGCTGGAGGGCGTTCTCGACCACTGAGGGGGGGGAAGTTGCGGTCCTTGAAAAATGAGGACAACTGAGATGTACGGGAGTGGAATGCCTCATCCTGGGAGCAGATGCGGCGGAGGCGGCCACTTCCTACAGACAAAGCGGGTGGCCATGGGTACCCGCATGGGCCCAAGCTATGCCTGCCTCTTTGTAGGTTACGTGGAACGATCACTCTTCCGAACCTACACTGGCCCTAAACCCCACCTCTTCCTCCGTTACATTGATGACTGTATTGGCGCTGCCTCGTGCTCCCATGAGGAGCTCGAACAGTTCATCCACTTCACCAACACCTTCCACCCCAACCTTAAGTTCACCTGGACCATCTCCAATACCTCTCTCTCCTTCATGGACCTCTCTGTATCCATCTCGGGCAACCACCTAGAAACCGATATCCATTTCAAGCCCACCGACTCCCACAGCTACCTAGAATACACCTCCTCCCACCCACCTTCCTGCAAAAATGCCATCCCCTATTCCCAATTCCTTCGCCTCCGCCACCTGCCCCCACACCTCCTCCCTCACCCCCATCCCAGGCCCCAAGAAGACTTTCCACATCAAGCAGATGTTCACCTGCACATCTGCTAATGTGATATACTGTACCTGTTGTGGCCTCCTCTACATCGGGGAAACCAAGCGGAAGCTTGGGGAGCGCTTTGCAGAACACCTACGCTCGGTTCGCAATAAACAACTGCACCTCCCAGTCGCGAACCATTTCAACTCCCCCTCCCATTCGACAACATGTCTATCCTGGGCCTCCTGCAGTGCCACAACGATGCCACCCGAAGGTTGCAGGAACAGCAACTCAGATTCCACTTGGGAACACTGCAGCCCAATGGTATCAATGTGGATTTCACAAGCTTCAAAATCTCCCCTCCCCCCACCGCATCCCAAAACCAGCCCAGCTCGTCCCCGCCTCCCTAACCTGTCCTTCCTCCCACCTATCCCCTCCTCCCACCTCAAGCCCCACCACCATCGCCTACCTACTAACCTCATCCCGCCTCCTTGACCTGTCCGTCCTCCCTGGACTGACCTATCTCCTCCCTACCTCCCCACCTACACTCACCTTTACTGGCTCCATCCCCGCCTCTTTGACCTGTCTGTTTCCTCTCCACCTATCTTCTCCTCTATCCATCTTCTATCCGCCTCCCCCTCTCTCCCTATTTATTTCAGAACCCCCTTCCCCTTCCCCTTCCCCTCCCCCATTTCTGATGAACGGTCTAGGCCTGAAACGTCAGCCTTCCTGCTCCTCTGATGCTGCTTGGCCTGCTGTGTTCAAGACTCTTAACTGCCCCTGGGCAATTAGGGATGGGTACTAAATGATAACCTAGCCAGAGAAGCTCACTTCCCATGGATGAATTTTTTTAAAGAAAATTAGCATTAGATTGACAACCATTTGAATATGCCACATGTTTTTTTTTTATCACTCAAGAATGAACCGTTATTGGCCAAGTGTTTTCTTTCCCCGCTAAAGTGAACCGATGCAGAGAGTTGCATTTTTTTTCGTTTACCTGGTATTTGTTAGTGTGTGTGTATTTATTGGTTTATTTAGAGGGGAGCCATTGATACTTCCATGCTACAGACTGAGCTTGTTAGCCTTGTTTTATATCTTCATTGATTTATTGTGAAACAAAAAAAATTCAAATCTTGCATTTATTAAGGAAACCTGGTTGATGGATAATAATATTAATATTAAGTCTAATTTAGACAATATAATTGTCCATATTAGGACCTGGGTAAAACAGTTAAATTCATGTTGTGACCCATGGAGTAAGAACATAGGAACTAGAGTATCCATTCAGCCCATTGAACTTTCTGTGATCATATGATCACGACTGATTGAAGACTTCAATACCTATTATCCTGCACTACTTTACCACTGGCTATACTGACCACTTCACACAACTACCACTACTCAAAGACTGAGTTTCTAAAACCTTGAGGGAGGGAAAGAATTCCAAGGATTCACAATGCTCTGAGTAAAAATAATTCTCCTCCTCTCAGTTACAAATGGTGTCTTTTGTTTCTAGAATTGCCAATCATGAGAAACATTACATGAAGCTACCCTGTTTATGTCTCTAAAGTGTTTTGGAAGTTTCAAGGAGATCCCCACTCATTATTCAAAATTCTCGAGAATACAGGTCCAGTTTGTCAAATCTCTCTTTATAGGTCAGTCCTACCATCCCAGAAACAAGTCTGTTGAACCTTTGTTGCACTCTCAATGGCATTATTATCTTTCTTGAGATAAGGAGACCAAAACTGCACACACTACTCCAGGTTTGGTCTAACCAAGTTCTCATACAGTTGAAACAAGTCTTCACTACTCCTGTACTCAAATGCTGTTGAGGTGAAGGCTAATGTTACATACTTAACAGCTTGCTGCACCTTCATGCTAGCCTTCGGTAACTTATTGACAAGGACACTCGGGTCTATCTGTACATCTAATCATTTCAACATTTCACCATTTAAGAAGTAGTCTGCACATCTGTTTCTCCTGCCAAAGCAGATAACCTCACATTTTTCCAGATTATGTTCCACCTGCCAAGTTCTTTGCCCATTCACTAAGCCTGTCCAAATCCTTCAAAAGCGGCTTTTAAACCCTCCAAACAACACATGTTCCCACTTATCTTTGTTTCATCTGCAAATTTAGAAATATTACATTTGGTCTCCACCTCCAGATCATTGATATATATTGACAGCAACTGGGGTACTGATCCTGGATACACCATTAGTCACTACCAATCTAGAATGACCCATTTATTCTCACTGTTTGTTTTCTGTCCATTAGGCAATCCTTAGTCTATCCTATGTGCTTACCAACCTCCTGTGGGGAACATTATTAAAGCCTTCTGAGTAGTGGGACTAGAGAATGACAGTACACTCCTCCCATCTTGGAGGTAACAGTTGCTAGGGAACCACAGCAGCCAATTTATACATCAAGTTCCCACAAATGATTGATGAAAGTATCTTAGTGATATTGCTGAGAGACTAATGTTGGGGAGAGTCCCCCTATTCTTCAAATAGTGCTAATTTTATTCTTAACATCAACCTTAGAAAATAGACATGGTTTTGGTGAGTTATCTTATTCAGAAAACCACCTCTGACAGTGCAATGTTTCTCAAGTACTGCACTGAAATTCCAGCGATTATACGTTAATATTTGCATCTCATTAAATTCAGTGCATCCTGTGTGGTGCAAGCTGAAGACCTAGGGTTTGATCCTTGTCCACAAACACGATGTATGAAATTAGTTCTCAGTTCTCAGTTAATGCATTATCCATTTCATTTTACAGGATGGAACTAAACACCATTCAAGTAATAGAGAATGATTATGCTGACTTGGTGTTGGATGCAGGTGCAGCAAACTTTGGGGAGCACTACAGAAAAACAATGAAAGGCAGAAAAAAAGAGGAGTGCTACAATATAATCAGATCTGCATGTGCTTTATTGAACTCTGGGGGTGGGATTATCACTGTGAAAGTGCTGAATGAAGGTTATAACTATGACATTCATGGAATTGGGTCAGATATAGAAGATGGGTTGCATAATTTGCAAAGTTGTGCAGCAGTCAAATCTTCCTTTGATTTTATTCAGCAAGATGGAAGCATGTTCATTTTTGTGCAGTCTTGGAGCAATGGATGTAGTAAAAATAATGAAAAGTTGCCAAAACTTTGCGCTATAAAATGGAATGCCTACCGGCGAGCAGACAGCAGTAATTATCAAATGTCACCACTTGAATTTGAGAATTTCATTACAAGAAAAACTAAGTCTGCAGGAAGAAGTGACAGCATCAAAGAAGATTCAGATTTGAGCATTGAGCCACTACAAAAGAAACCTAAAATTGAGCCAATTGAATCAACTGTGTTCAAAAGCAGAGAATTTCAGTTAGGTGATACATTGAATTTCAATGAATCTCTGTATGTTGAATTTAAAGACTTCTCAGGGAAAAACAATGTAAACAGGATAAAAGAGGCACTGCCTAAGTACATCTCTGCCTTTGCGAACACAAATGGTGGATATTTATTGATTGGTGTCACTGACACAAGAAAGGTTGTTGGATGTGGTCAGTGTATTGAAGATCCACAATATTTTGAGGAATTAATATCCACAACTGTAAAAAAAACTCAACACTGTACACATCTGCAACACTCAAAAAGTTATTAACTATAGGCTTAATGTTGCCAGAGTACTGAACAAATCAGGACAGCATGGCTTTCTATTAATTTTGTACGTGGAACCATTCTGCTGTGTAGTGTTTGCTGATGACCCTGACTGTTGGAAGGTAGAAAATGACCAGATTAAGAGAGTGGAACCTCGTGAATGGACTGAAATAATATTAGCCACAGATCCAGGTAAGTTTCTTAAGTTGTGATAAATCTGAATACATTCATATTACATGTTGTAAACAGGGGAGAGTGATTTTACAGGAAAGCAGCTTCTTGATTTTCTAGCCTGAAACAACTAAAGTACAGGAATAATTCTGATGACATATTCAGTGGTTAAGCACCATAAGGAACAGAAGTAATTTATATTAAAAAGCTGCAGGTTTCTGACCTAATTTGAATGGTATGATTATTCTTTTTCTTGTAGACATAGAAGAACTGTGTTCCAATTTTCAGAAGGAGTTGAGTGTGACTGCAGCACCACTGGGGTGTAAGACAGTGTATTCACTTAAAGATGCTGAATGTTTGAACGAATTGCAACGGAAACTGTTTCCAGGTCTGACATTTTGATGAAAATTGCATTTCTCTTCAACAAGATGCCATTGCTTTAATTCTTCCTCCCTATTGCTTTTCAGTCTGTTTTATACATTAAGATTTTACTCATTTATGTCTGCGCTTTTTCTCTGATTATATAAACATGAAACATTTATTTTTCAGTTCCAAGAAGGGTATGTACTTACAAAGAGTCTGCAACTCATTTTGTTTTTGATTTATGCCTTCCGTTGATAGTTTGTAACTGACACATCAAGGAGGGGAAGAGTTACCTAGATGCTGTGTTTCAGGAGAAATGCACACCCTGTAATTTGGCCAGTGGTCACAGACAGGAGGCTTGACTTCAAGTGAATCAGGTAGAGAGATCCTGAATGTAGCATTGAGGCTTCTCCAGCTATTGACCTTGCCCAACAGGTACAAGGTACTTGCACCCTTTGTGGATGAGGAAAAGGACTTTAGGGAGGATGGGTAAACTGATCACTACACTGTAGTACAGGAGGCAGTTGGATATCTGGGAATCTGGTGTTGAATGAACTTAATTGGGTGTTTCCTTAACCAAAAAGATTTAAGGCTTCAAAAGTAAACAGAAGAAGGAGCTGGAATGAGGAGCAATTAGATTGGGTGAAAGGCAGAACAAGCAGGCAGAGAGAGAGGAAAGAAGGGACATAGAAAGTAAAATTTTAAAAAATGAATTGAAATGAAATTTGACATTCCAAAAATCTACAACAGCCATTCATTCTGAAGGAATGAGAATCCATGTGTACAGTTATTCATTTTCAGAGCCAGAGAAGTTGGTTAATAGCTATTACTAATAATCATATTATTAAAAGGGTGCATCTGTTAATTAATTGGATTAATTTTTTGTGGTCAATTGGCCCTCTTATGGCACAATGGTACTGTCCCTACCTCTGAACCAGAAGGCTCAGGTTCAAGTCACAGGGGTATGTAATAACATCTCTGAACAGGTTGATTAGAAAAATAGATTATATTAAAATTTTGGGGTCTTGTTTGGTGCAGAAGTGGTGTTACTGCCTCTGATTCAGGAGTCCTGGGTTCACCCCCCACCTCCTGCAGAGGTGTGTTATTAACATGTTGAATACCAAAAACAACTTTGAATATAAAATATATTCAGTGGTGAATATATTGGGAAATTAATATACAAATGCAGCAATGCCTTCATGAAACTGTTGGGTGATTGATTGCAAGCTGAGATTTTGACAGTGGAATGGCACAAGCTATCAAACAATTTTGAGGTGATTTGTAATCCCTAGGATACTTGTTCATTTCCACAACCTACCTAACGATCAAACGTTAATGATGATATGCATTGTTCAAATGTCATTCAACGTTTCATCATTGGCTTAATTATTCAATGTGATTTATTGTTTCGCTTATGTTTTTGCAGTGGAATTTCATTCTTCCAGTGGAATCAGTAAAATACCAGACAACTTGTATAAAGAACTGCTCAAAGAGTATCCAACTCTGGAGAATCTGCTGCCTAAAATGAAACTTGTAAGAGGTCAGGGAGTTTTGATTTTCTCCAGAAGCTGGGCTGTTGACATTGGGCTGGCAAAGAACCAGGATGTAATATGTGACGCACTGCTACTGGCACGGAGAATGCTCCAAGATTATACACGGTTGGCAGGCAGGAAAGTGACGAAGTTTTCAAGTATTCAAAAGGCACAGCTTTTTCCATCAACAAAAACTGGTGAATCCAGGTGGCTATACAGGAAAACTCTGTGTAATTCCCAAAATCCTTTGGTATTCTAAATGTCAGTCTATCGAAGACAGTAGTACATCTACAATGGAATTGGGCAATATGCAGAAAGCTGGAAGGAGATTAGAAGTTCGGTACCCAGAAGCTTATACATTCTTGGACATTACAGCATTACTAATAGCACTCACTATCGTGCTGTTGAATTTCAGATCCTTCCTAAGTGATCAACTTGGCTGTGAATTTCTCAATTTGCTAACTTTGGAGCAATTTCAGATTCTTTATTCAAAACACAATATTGAGAAGTGCAAAAAACTCTTTGTGCACGGCCTTCCTGGAACTGGCAAAACAATTATAGCCAGGCAACTCATTGAGAGGATTATCAACACCTTTCAATGTAAAAAAGATGAGGTCCTTTACATTTGTGAAAATATTCCACTGGCGAGATTTGAGGTAAAATTATATTACTGCTTCCTTTTTAAGAAAGAGACAAATGTACAAGTATATTTTTATGTTCCTGGGTGATGTAGGAGAATGGTGGATAGGAGCCTTTTCTTCCAATTTCATTATCTATTTAGCCTTTAATTCAGTCTTCATTAACACAAATGCTAATATTGTACTACAACATTAAATTGCTCAATATTCCAATTAACTTCGCCTTGAGCAGGGAAAACAGGAGTCAGGACCCAAATTCAGGTCATGAAATGGAGGTCATGACATGAGGCACCAATGGCCACTGTTAGTCTTGAATTGAGCTGCACCCCTGCTCTCATAGGCATCCACCCTCATAGCAACACAGTCCCCCAGCCCTCGGGTCTACCACCGCCTCCACCCCACCACCCTCCGGTCTGTCTTGGACCTCACATAGGGGCCGTGACAATTTTCAAGCCTTGAAATGGAGGTTTGCGAGGCATTGCTTTGTCACATCTGTTTAGATTTGATGATCCTCATAAATTACTACCACAATAAAACCACTTCCTTGTCACAATTGTATCATACCTTTCACCAGATTAAGAAATTCTGAAGTGTTTCATAGCTAATGAAGTATGGTGTACAGTAATGAAGTATATTTTGGAAGTGTAGTTATAGTATTTGTGGCAGCCCATAAGTACACAAAGTTCCTAGAAACAATCGTGATCATAACCAGATAACCCCTTCAAATGTTGGTAAGAAATAAGCATTGGCCAAGACACCAAGGAGAACTGTTTCAGAGATAGTAGGAACTGCAGATGCTGGAGAATCTGAGATAACAAGGTGTAGAGCTGGATGAACACAGCAGGCCAAGCAGCATCAGAGGAGCAGGAAGGCTGACGTCAGCCTTCCTGCTCCTCTGAT